ATGTCTTCAAGAGAAGATGGCAATATGTACGTGTATATGTACAAGTTATTATGTGTTAAGTTTTTCAAGTGTACAATAAAGAATAAATATATTTAAGTACAGTACTTACGTACATTAATAAAATACCTACTATTTACTTGTATCTATTATTATCAAAATTAAATTATAAGTTCTTGACTTGACCACGACTATGTGACCCCCTCCTGGCGCCAAAGCTGGATCCGCCCTTGACTGTGTGCTCGTTCGTCACCCCCTATCCTATAAAAAAACGTACGTACGTTCACAGTAGCAATTCGGGTTCGATCCCCGCCGGCACCAATGAAGTTTTTAATTACAATTTTAAGTGCTGGTTAACTACGTGCTTAGCGGTGAAGAAAAACATCGTGACCTGCATGTCTGAGAAATAAGAAAAAAAGTACTTATTTCGAAGACATGTGAATTTCTCCAACACACATTGGGGCAGTACGGCGGTTATTTCCTTGCTTCGCCTCTTATAAATGAGAGTAACTTTAACACAATACAGGTGCAGCATGCCTCTACTCTCAACTACGTATCAAAATTGTTTTGTACAGACCCATGCCGCCATCTATTGGAAGACATATGATATTTAGTCAATGAGGGCTAATAATTTTCTGCTCACCAGATGTCGCTAGTTGACATTGAGGTAAAGTTTTTGTTACAAATGTAATTTAATTGAGTTGCTTTTTCAATAAAAGTTTATCAGTTTCTAGAGTATTAAATTAATACACAAAACAATGCGTCAGTGGTTTGCTCTTTAATTTTTTGTACATTTTTTCACGTTTTTTTTTTAATTTTTCTACTTTTATGAATATCTGTGGCTTGGTTTATTTATTTTTAATGTTACTAATATAAAATATAGCTAATAGTACAGAAATAAACAATAACTTTTACATTTTCCGAACAAATTAACTTCCCTGCTATGAAATCTGTAAAATATTATACCTCACTTTCCAGTGGCGCCTCCCGGGTGGCAGAAAAAGTCGTGGATGCCACGTGGATGTCGTCATTCCACAATTTTTTTGCGAGAAGGGCGGTGCCTCTTTTAATTTATGTGAAATATTTTGACAGAATTTCATGGCGAAGAAGTTAAATTGTTTAAAAGTGTAAGTAAAGGTTAATGTCTATTTCTGTTTTATCAGTTACATGCAGCTATATGAATAGTACCTATAGTTGTAGCACGAATGGGTCAGCTCGACCGGGGAAGGACCACGCTCTCACAGAATACCAGCGTAAAATAGCAGCTTAATGCTGCTGTGTTTCGTATGGAGAGTGTAGAGAACCAGAGACCCAATTTACTGGAAAAGAGGCATTCTATCTTAGTTCTCACGGCTGACAACGCATCTGCATTTTAATTCGCAATCAAAGATAGATGTATAGGATATATATAGGATGTCTATGGACCACAGCAGCCACTTACCTTCAGGTGGACTGTGTGCTCGTTTGTCATCCTATTTCTATTAAAAAAAATAGTTGGTGACTACATTACGTCTGACAAATAAGTTCACCTCAGTCAATACCAACTAGTGATATCTAATGATCGGAAGATTATTAACCCAGATTTATAATGTTGTTTTCACCTTTCCTCTTCATCATTCATCATCATTACAGCCTTTCATAAGTCCACTGCTGAACATAGGCCTCCCTCAAGGAATGCCACAAAGCACGGTCCTGAGCCACCTGCATCCATCGACTTCCTGCATGTCTTACCAGGTCGTCACTCCATCTCGTGGGGGGTCGCCCTACACTTCGCCTACCGGTACGAGGCTGCCACTGAAGAACCTTTCTTACCCATCGGTTGTCGGTTCTTCGAGCTATATGGCCGGTCCACTGCCACTTCAGCTTACTAATCCGTTGGCCTACAGGTAAACATACTCGTCAACAACTTCGAGCTTAGTGTTCCCAACAACTACCGGCATAGGTGTGACATGGACATTAAACATAATCTTTGTTTTGTCCATGTTCATCTTAAGACCTATCCGTTGGGAAACACTATTGAGGTCATTGAGCATAGTGCTTAAGCCCTCCAGCGATTCTGCCATAAGGACTATATCGTCGGCAAATCGAAGGTGAGTGATGTACTCGCCATTGATGTTAATACCGTATCCTTTCCAGTCCAGAAGCTTGAAAACGTCTTCCAATGCAGCGGTGAAGAGTTTCGGGGATATAACATCACCCTGTCTTACACCTCTCTGCAATTGGATAGGTTTCGTACTCTGGTTCTATACTCGGATAGCCATCGTAGCTCTACTGTACAAACACTTCAGCACTTCGATATACCGATAGTCAACTTGGCACCACTGCAGCAACGTCCAAATTTCGACGGAATCAAAGGCTTTCTCATAGTTCACATACGCCAGACATAGTGGCAAATTGTACTCTTCCGACTTCTGTACAATTTGCGGAAGGGTATGTATGTGTCAAGTCTGCGCGAGAGACGATTCGTAATGACTCTCGTAAACAGCACGTAGACGCGGCTCAGAAGGGAAATCGGTCTGTAGTTCTTCAAGAGACCGTTGTCACCTTTCTTGAAGAACAAGACCACCGCACTTGTGCTCCACGCCTCCGGTGTAGTGCCACCATGGAGGACGGAATTAAAAAGCTTCTGAAGGACTTCAAGTACCGGTCTTCCACCCGCTTTCAGAAGCTCCGCTGTAATTCCATTCTCGCCTGGGGCCTTGCCGTTTTTAAGGTGCTGCAGAGCCATTCTAATCTCGCTCAGACTGACGTCCGGGATATCTTCGGAATAGTGTCGGATAAGACTCGCTCTTGGATAGTTACTCACACTTGCGTGTGGCTCCAACGATGACGTGTACAGCTGCCCATAGAACCTCTCAATCTCACTCAAAATCTCAGGTGTCCCGGAAACGATGCTGCCACGTTCGGTCTTCAGCTTTAACAATTGGCTCTTTCTGGCAGACAGATCTCTGCCAAAAACTTTGGAGCCTTGGTTCCGCTCGATCGCTTCTTCAATACAAGCTGTATTGAAGTTGCGTAAGTCCCGCCGCATGCATTTGGAGATCTGACTGTTCAGTTGCCTGTATGCTGTCAAATCTGTTGAAGAATATAGCTTCATCTCCCGTCTTACAGCCATGAGATTAAGAGTGTGATCGGAGAGTTTTTTTGTTCTTCTGCGGCGGGTCTTGCAGAACTTAGCTCCGACCGCATGGACAGTTTCCACGAGCTTGTCATTCATATCGTCCACTTCATTGCAGTCTTCTAGGCACTGAAAACGGTTTTGTAACTCGAGCTGAAAGGTTTCGGGACTCTGGAACAGAGCACAAGGGGGACGGAGCGTTGACTTCATTAGGCGAGACCTCTCCAACTTAACGTTTAGGTTCAGTGTGCCTCTAACCATTCGGTGATCGCTACCAGTTTTCACCCCCGCGATAACGGAGACATCACTGAACAGTTGTCGTCTGGTCGTCATAATGAAGTCAATCTCATTTTTTGTCGAACCGTCGGGGCTCGGCCAGGTCCACTTCCTGTGGGGCCGCTTCTGGAAGAAAGAGTTCATCATAAAGAGTCCCTCTTTCTCCATGAAGTCGGCCAGCTGCTGGCCCGTTGGGTTCCGTTGCCCTATTCCAAATTTCCCTACTTTCAGCTCACCGTTCTCTCTTGTGCCTAGTTTTGCATTGAAGTCTCCCATTAACACCGTATATTGGGTTTTGGAGGAAAGCATGGCTCTAGAGATATCCTCATACATTTCCTCCACCTCCTCATCGGGGTGTGCCGAGGTTGTTGCGTAAACCTGTATGACCTTCAGCAAATACCGTTTGGTGATTCTGAGTATAAGGTACGCAACCCTCGTCGACACACTCTCAATCTTTACAACGTTGTTAACGAGAGACTTGTGGACGATATATCCGACACCTCCTTGGGACGTTGCCGGATTCGAGGATTACCATGTCCTCCTCCTCTCTTCGGACTTCGGATAATCCTATAATATGCCAGCGTAACTTGTCTATCTCTTCTTCCAGCTCCACGATCTTCTCGTCAGTCCTCAGGGTGCGTGCGTTGTATGTTGCCAGGTCGAGTCGTCTTAGGTGGCAACCGAACCTCCACCGGAGATTCTTAGCACTTTCCTCTTACGGAGGAGGAAATTTTGAAAAATCGTGACGCAATGAGAGATTGCGAAAGAAAAATCTCAAAAATGTTCATTTACGTCATTAATGGAAAGCAGCGTCTAACTCAGAAGAAGAGAAGAAAAAAGTTATTTCATGAGAAAGTTACGTAATCAATAAACGTGAAATCTAACGTGTATAATTGTATTATAGGTATTTTTGCTTACTTTAATAAGTGTATTTGATTCATCATTTATGATTCTGAAAAAAATATATAAGAAATAACGTTGTATTAAACCAAAAAAAACTTACTACTTTACGGCAACGTTTCTGGATCTCGGAACGTTATGCCACAAGCGCAATGGGATCAAAGACATAACAAATAACAATACTAAACAATGTAAACTATGTATGTACCTACGTCTTTAATTTTATTTATATATTGCATAGCATTGTGTTAAATATGCCATCTATTACCGAATAGCAAATTCAAAATTAATTCAGTATAGCGACATCTAGTGCTTATACTGTATATCATTACGAACACGGGTGTCTTTAATTTCTAGTAATGATAATAATAAGGATAAGGCTAGGCTATAAATATAGATCATATATTATTAATACTATACTAGAGACACAGAGTAAAGAGTAACTCATGTGCTAGAGAGTTATAAAGTCAAAGCTAAAAAAGTACAACATTTTGTAGTACAGTAGTGTCTGTTAATCTGTTTAGATTATTTGTGTTAGCTTCGGTTTTCTTTAAAAATAAGTATAAACAATAGACAATTTTAGATGGCCGGAGGAAGGAGGTGGGCCGTTTTGAAAAATCAAATTGACATTTGTCAGTTTTGTCATTTCACTCTTGATGTCTTTGCTCAGTCAGCCAGTCGAATCGAAGTTTGCCGCTGTCAGTCTGTCAGTGTCAAGGCGGGAATGTGAAAGTGAAATTCTCGTTTGCGTTTGTTGATTCCAAGTGATTGTATCTGAGTGATACGCGGCCTTATAAATTAATTTCACACAACACGATGCCGCCAAGTAGCCTTCGAGTCGTGTACGCGTTCGCCAGAGAAATGCATCCGAAAACAAGTGATGTTTTTATTCAATACGGAACCGCTGGATTCCGCACCAAGTGAGTAAAATAATCTGAATTATTTAATGCAATTTTATTTTCTTTGCCTAAGCACTGTAATATATATTGAAATAAAGTCAAAAATAAGAAATCCGAGGTACGCTTAATTCAAATATGTAAAACTGTCACGTCGACAGAATGCCATACATATTATAATATTACTATTTGCGATTGCATATAGTATTATTAATGAGTCACCAATAAGATTGTTTGTACGGGAAGTTGCCCATCACGACGTCCGTATAATGGTCAATGACTTCACGTAATGTATAAACCAAAACAATTGGGTTGGTTATACAATTGCATGTACAATATAATTTACAACAACAATATTTTAACTGAAAAGACCTTGTTGACCTGATAATGTTACAAAAAAAAAATGAGTGCGGCATTGAAATTAATCAAAATATATATGTCGCAATTGCCTTTTGTGTAACTTGGTTACTAACAACCTTGCATGCAGGCCTGCATTGCAGTACTAAGTATGCAGTTGGAAGGAAAACTTAGTTTTATTTACTTACTTATATTTTGTAGACTATAGAAAGTCTTGTGGATGAAAATTAATTTTATTATTTACTTTATATGTTTTCTCATCTGCTTGCCGTTATGTAACAAAGCTGTATTATTACACAATAAATGAAATGAGCTGCCCACTATTATTACTATGATTTAAATAATGGAATAATTCTATAATTCTCAATTATTATCAGTTTAGAGGGAAAAAATTTACATGAGATGTGACTAATTATTAGCATTAAATCAATTTATTATTTCATTTTATTACTGCATACCTTGAATGCAAAGCGGAGAAGTTGAACTTTACTGTCAACTTGTCAAGGTCACACTGGTTTATTATTTTTATACCACACTAATACGTGAAGAAAAGCATATTAATGTTAAGAAAAAATACTAATGAATAGTACAAATGCTTAAGTTTTGGAATATTTATTATTATTATAAAGAAAAGTCCAATTAATAATTTTTAATATTACAAACGAGTCACTGATTTTCATATCTTTATTCTCATAAAAATATATTACAAACTTACATGAAAATAGTTTAAAAAATAAATTAAAAACTTGAGAATAATTGCACAAGCTAGATAACAAAATATTTTTTTGTTTATTCACGCTAAGAAATGTCATACAGAAATCACAACTCCTTTATGTATAATTTCTTATTTCAATAAAATGTGCATTTTTAAAAGAACTATTACTTTGTAGTGTTTTCCTGCTATAATGTAACATTAGGATATTGACTCGAAATAAAAATATACCATGCATTATCATGGAAGTGGTACTGAAATATATTTGGCACTATGCCCATGCACTTAGATGAAATGTATTGCTCACATGGAGCCTTATCTAAACACTATTGATAACCTGTTTTATAAAGAGATTTATTGTAGATGGTATGGAAAGAATTTATTTAGTTCCACACATGCAACAATATTATTATAATACATATAAAGTTAATTGAGATTGTACATAGAGTTAACATTCCTATCTGTTTGAGAAAAATGTCCCTAAATAAGTAGAGAGAAAACAAAGAAAGACTAAAATAAGGAAAATATTGTTAATATAAATTTGATAAAATACCACCCCCAAGGTTAGAAAATAGGGGATTAAGTTTTTAATCTAATATTTTAGATGACATATATATATATATATATATATATATATACAACGTGTCCCAAAATTCAACGATAAGCCAACACCGGAGGATAGACCTGCCCCGGACTAATAGGGTAAAAAAAGAAAAAAAAATATATCCCAATTATATTTTAAGTTATATAAAAAAAATGAAATTCTTCAGAAATTGAGACCGTTTATGATATTTTTCACTACCATGACCACAATTTTTTAAATATTTTTTTCTTTTTTTTTTATAGGCAACCTGAATAGTACTGCTATCTACCACAATTCTTAAAAACTCCAGAATAACTCTTGTTTTATCACGAAAATTAATGAAACTTATTTTATTCCCTAAATTTTTTGAAGACTTTTACTTTTAACCAAATTTAACTTATCGTGGTGTAAAAAAAAAGTATGAACACTAGTATGGCAAGTTTTTTTAAAAATTGACGCAACTAACCAATATTCCAAAATGGTATAATACTCTAGGAAAACAAGTTATAAAAAAATATGGGCCTATTATTTCTTAACAGGGGCCAAATGACGGTCGGGTGTAATAAAAGTATTATTTCTTGAAAAATGTTTAATATTTCAAAACAAATGGTACAAACAGTTTCACGTGTAATTTATTAAGTTATTAACATTATAGCAAATGTTCGAACTGTTTGCCACCAGCATTAATACATGCACGACATCGCCTTAAAAATGATCGTTTTATTTGTCTTGCATATCTTCTGCTATTAATGTAATCAGCAGCCTGAGTGATATTTCGACGAAGCTCGTCCAATGTCACAATGGGTTTTGAGTAGACCCTGTTTTTAAGACAACCCCAATAGAAGAAGTCCAGGGGGTTCAAATCGGGTGAACGGGGTGGCCATAAGATAGGACCAAGTCGCCCGATCCAACGCCCTGGATACTCTTGATTTAAATATTCTCGCACAGGACGGGCATAATGTGCTGGGCAACCATCATTTTGGAACCACATGTTTTGAAGATCATTTAAGGGCACGTCGTTTAACAATTCTTGCAAGTCATTTTGTAAAAAGTTTAAATAACTATTGCCATCTAAGTTTCCTTGTAACTCAAAGGGCCCAATTACTTTTCCATTTAATATGCCGGTCCATAGGTTAACCTTGAATTGATATTGGGATTTGTCTTATCTCATCAAGTGTGGATTTTCATTACTCCAACTATGTAGATTGTGAAGATTTAAATACCCATCTTTCTTGCACGTTGTTTCATCCGACCATAGAATTTTGTCTAGGAAGTGGGGATCTTCACTGTGCCTTTGCAGCATTACACGGCAAAATGTGACCCGTAGCGGATAGTCCCGCGGTAATAACGTCTGCACACGCCTGTAGTGATATGGGTGAAGCTTGTGACGTTTTAATATTCGATGTGCAGAACTTTTCGGGATTCCTGTAGCTTCTTCTATGGCACGTACCGAAGTAGTCGAGTCATTTTCTATCTCCTTGAGAACTTCTTCATCACGATCCAATCTAGGTCTTCCAGCGCTGCTCCTATTGGATGGCATACGACCCTCCGAAAACGCTTGATGCACATTAATAAACACTCGATAATCAGGATATCTTTGAGCATTTGGGTATCTTTCTGGATACAGTCTGCTAGCAGCGTTAGCATTACATCGGCATTTTCCATAGATTAAATGCATATTAGCGTATTCCTGTGGTGTGTACGGTTGCGGCATGTTAAACGCCAAACAGTCCAAAATGCGCCAGAACTCTAAATCACAAAACACACAATCGTAGTCCAAGATAATGCCAGGTCAGTTCAGTTTGCAGATCACTTCCAGTCCAAATAATGCCAGGTCAGTTAAGTTTGCAGGTCGATTCCAGTCCAAAAAGCCAAGCCAAAAGTCGATAGTATGTACGAGGGCCACGTAAGTTGAATTGGGTACGGTGCGCAGTAAACAAAGGAGCAGAGCGTACTGAACCGACTTGCTGAGAATAATAACAGCTTCTCTACCTGCCCTGTTGTTGTCTCTTTTTAACGTAAATATCTCTATCTATCTATCTCTCTCTAACATCTAAGGTATTAATGCCCCATTCGAATTCCTAGAAATTGTAACAGGAACCCATTTTGGGCATGTAGTAAAAGTGATTACTGACAATTACAATTTAAGGAATTTGGCCCCTGTTAAGAAATAATAGGCCCATATTTTTTTATAACTTGTTTTCCTAGAGTATTATACCATTTTGGAATATTGGTTAGTTGCGTCAATTTTTAAAAAAACTTGCCATACTAGTGTTCATACTTTTTTTTTACACCACGATAAGTTAAATTTGGTTACAAGTAAAAGTCTTCAAAAAATTTAGGGAATAAAATAAGTTTCATTAATTTTCGTGATAAAACAAGAGTTATTCTGGAGTTTTTAAGAATTGTGGTAGATAGCAGTACTATTCAGGTTGCCTATAAAAAAAAAAGAAAAAAATATTTAAAAAATTGTGGTCATGGTAGTGAAAAATATCATAAACGGTCTCAATTTCTGAAGAATTTCATTTTTTTTATATAACTTAAAATATAATTGGGATATATTTTTTTTTCTTTTTTTACCCGATTAGTCCGGGGCAGGTCTATCCTCCGGTGTTGGCTTATCGTTGAATTTTGGGACACGTTGTATATATATAATCTCTTAAAAATGACAGCGCTACTGGTTGGGACGGAATATCCAATAAACTTTTAAAAATTTGTAACAATCATATAGTACCCGTCTTGACACATATTGTTAACCTATGTATAACCTCAGGTGTATTTCCACAAATATTTAAAATATCTATTATCTATCCTATTCATAAATCTGGACCAAGAAACTGCATCAACAATTACCGCCCAATCTCGATATTGCCAGCCCTATCAAAAATTATAGAAAAGGTAATAAATAAAAGATTGATATGTTTTTTGGAAAAGAATGCTCTTCTATCGAGTAATCAATATGGTTTTAGAGCTGGCAAGTGTACTTTTGATGCAGTTACTGGGTTAACAGATTATATTGCTCAGCAAATTGATAAGAAAAACAAATGTATAGGTGTATTCTTAGATATTGCGAAAGCATTTGATACGGTCTCTACTCCTATACTTCTAGACAAAATGCATAAAATTGGTATACGCGGGAAACCATTAAGCCAGTTTGAAAGTTATATTTCTCACATAAGGCAAAGGGTAAAGGTTGGAGACCTGACTAGTCTAGATTCTCCCATCACTTATGGCGTGCCACAAGGCAGCGTCCTCAGCCCTAGTCTCTTCTTAATATATATAAATGAATTATGTAATCTTAATTTGAAGGTTCGCCACCCGTCACGTCCTGTCTCCCGGAGGGGCGAAAAGTGGATTGCGGAGGCCCGTCTG